ACATATGTGACAGGCACGTAATAGGTACTCAGAATGGTACCTAAGGCACCTCTTCCTGCGGCCCCTCTGGCCCCCGGGGGATCTGTCTGGGCCTGCCCAGCTACCTTTCTCCTTGCTCACCCCTCTCTGCTACACGGGCCCTTCCTGGACACACCAGGCACACGCCTGCCTCCGGTCGTGAGCCCACCCTGCCCTCTTTCCCGGGACATCTCTCCCAGGTAGCTTTGTGGCTCCCTCCCTCGCTCCCTTCACATCGCATGCCACCTCAGCAGAGAAGCCTTCCCTGTTACCCTAGCAAAAACAAGCACCCTAGCACGCCATTCTTCACCGTATTTACCTCTCCCTAAGTTGCCTTACGTAGGTCTTTGTTTACCTTCCTATTGTGAAAGGCTAATTGCACAGACTAGGTGTGGCGTCCAGAACACGGTCTTATTTGTTGTTGTACCCCCGGCACCTAGTGCAGTGCCTGGCGCATTGTAGGTGTTCGGTGAACATCTGTTGGAGGAATGAATGGATTAGGTAATGAGAACAAGTTGGGGGAGATGATTTGTTCGGATTCACTGTTGCCTAACACAGATGCTCCCAGTCCATACAGGGCACCAGAGGCTGTCCGGCGGTTCTAGAGCCCCCTTCCACTATTTGAAGAGTACAAGGGATCATGCTTACCCAGAATTAAAACCACACTGGCTGTAGCTTAGTAAATAATGTCCATTCTGTAATGATTCATTCCGCAAACACTTCCTGAGCACCTGTTAGTTGCCGGGCACGGGGCGCGGTGTTAGGGTTATGGTGCTGAGAGAGACAAAGGTGTTCACGCTACTTTGGGGCTCAAGGTATCCCTGGGGAGTGGCAGGTTTCACGGAGTGGGGTCCTGGGTGCGGTGCTGACGGGATCTCTGAGTCACTCCCAGATGGTGTCCCTGCGCGAAGAGTGAGTCCACTTCCTACCGATTTCGCCCCTCATCCTTGTTCCGTGAAACCTCGATAAAGACCATCCTTAAGGACCTCTCCAGCTCCCGTGTTCTGTGATTTGCTGAGAATCTCAGGCCGAGAGATGTGCTGGGTGCTCCTGATCTTGGGTGGCGGGTTGGGGTGCTGAGGGGCAGCTCCCCACTGGGGTCCCCATGAGGCCACACTGAACCCCAGGCTCGGGAGATCCCAGGGTCCGCCCTGCTGTGCGGGAACGGTCCTTTGCCTTCGTCAGCAGCCCAGCACGGCCTGCCCGGGGCCGCCTTCCCTGAGTGGGGTGGTGAAAGCCAGGCTGAGTGCCAGCTTCTCAGGAATAGCTTCCCAGCTTCCTGCAGCCAGGAGGGGCAGGGAGGGGGACCCGGTGATGATGTCGGATGGGGAAGAGGATGACAGCTTCCCGTCCATCAGAGGCTGACAGGCTGCTGATGGGGAAGGGAGGGGTGCACAGCTGGGCTTGCCAGGCGGGGCCAGGGGGGAGGGCTGGCATTTCCCAGGCACCAGCTTCTGGGCCTCTCCTGGAATCGGGGCCGCCCAGCAGGGTTGGGGAGGCGGCCGGATCCCACCTCCCACATTCCACAGCCTGTGGGTGCTGACTCCCAAAGGCAGGGACTCAGCTGAGGGAGGGAAGAAGTCACAGCAAAACACAAAGGAAGACCTTTGCAATAAGGGTGCTGTTTGTCTCTGGAGAGCTCCCCCCTCCCCTAAAAATGCAGGAAGCATTTAAGTCAGATACCAAAAAGAACATCCCGACTCAGCCGGTTGCCAGCCAGGGAATCGTATGATCAGAGAGGGGCATGGATACCTGTGTGGAGGTTGCTGTTTCTGATTTGAGAGTCATCTGCATGAACTCTCATTCATTCTTTCATTCATTCATTCATTCAACCTTACTTACCTTACTGTGTGTCTGACTGAGACTTGGGTAAACAGAGATAAATAAGACTAAGCCCTTGCCCTGAAGGAGCGTATGAAGAAGACCAGACCCAACTACTGTCACACACCAAAGCTGGTGCTGCTGTCACAGAGGGACCAACAACGAGCAGCAGGAGTCAGAGGAGGGAGAGAGGAGATGACACTTGGGACCCAGAGGATCCCAGAAGGCTTCCTGTAGGAGGAGGCATCTGAACTGGGCCTTATAGTATCTTAAGCTTCCTGGGAGGAGAGAGGGCAGCATGGACAAAGGCTCAGAGGTGGGAGAGTGAAGGCCCAGGCGGAAGAGGGGATCACTATGTGGGTGGGTTCCCTGGTTGGGGCAGGGGTGCTGAGACAGAAGTGGTGGCCAAAGAGGGCTGGGCCACCTGACCACACCTGGTCAGCCAGTACAGTCCATTCCCTTGCCTATGTGATTGGTTCCAGGATGGCATGAGCTCCAAGATGGCCCAGCAAAAATCAGCCACGGGACCTCTGCTGAAATTGCCCCCATAGCTCCTGTCATTTATATCCAAGTCGGTTCAGGCTTCGCTCCCAGAAGACTATACACTGGAATCTATTTCTCCCAGTGCTGGAGGCTGGGGTTCCCAGGTCAGGGCGCCCCTCCATCCTCTTATAAGGGCGCTCATTCCATGCTGCGGCCTCCACCTCTGTGACCTCATCCAAACCCAGTGACCTCCCAAAGGCCCCACCCCCAGATACCCCATGTGAGATTAGGGCTGCAACATTTGCATTTGGGGGGACACACCCGTCCCGTCCACAGCAGAGTTACTTGATGCTCATCTTATAGGGGAGATGGGGAAATGGGGAGACTGGGAGACCAGGACCAGGGACAGCTGGGGTGAGGTCCAGTGCTGCCCCGCACTCATGGTGCAGCCTTGGACATGTGGCTGTCCTCCTCTTGGGGGTCTCAGTTTCCATGCTTGTGGAGGAAGGAACTCAGACGAACTTTGAGGCCCCATAAGCTCTTCCACTCTGAACTGACACCTCCTTCCTCTGCATCCTGGTGCCACTGTTTTGCGTGGGCGCAGACGGGGCATGGTGGGGGAAGCTCTGCTGAATATCGCAGCACAAGAGCACGGGAAACCATAACGATTCACGCGTGCGGTTTCTTGGCTCACCTGGCTGGCCTCTTTTTCCCTCCCTGCACAAGACTAGGGGGAGATTTTTGATGGGGCTTTGCATCTTGCAAGAAGGCAGAACCCTGCCTGGCTCTCACCTTCCATCTGCGATGGAGGCTCAGAGACAGCCCAGCTGGAGCCAGGACGCGGAGGCTCGGAGGCTGTGTCCCCCCAGCATCTCCCCCATCTCTGTTCTCCACGAGATTGGGAAGTTCATTATTTCCCGGACTGGCTTTTCTGGTGAGACTCAAATTAATTTTCCATCTCTCCCCCTCTCCCAAGCCTTGCAATCATTAAATGCCAGGGAAAGTTAAATAAACAGCTGATTTACAGAAGCATTTTCTTTCTTTCCTTCTTCCTTTTTTTTTTAAAGAAAAGCAGGAACCTCTATTAATCAGTTGTGCTGAGAGCAGTCTGATTAAGCAGTTGGCGCACCCTTCAGATGAGCGGCCAGAGGGCCTAGAGGCTCCTAATCAGGGGCTAAAAATAACCCAGGCTCCTGCCCAGCCCCCCAGCCCCTCGGAGGCCAGGGGCAGGCCTCTTCTGCAGGCAGGGGTGGAGCCAGGCACCTGGCCTGGAGCCCCTGGGTCTCTTCACCATTCTCAGCTGAAAGGCTTTCTACCAATAATTTCACTCAACTCCACTATTGTTTAGAGAGACTTAGAGACAGGAGGGGACCTGCCCAGGGTCACACAGCAACGTCGTGACCGTGCTGGGATTTAGAACCCTGAATCCCACTTTAGGGATAAAGAGGTTTCCAGATCTGAACGCCTTGAATAATTTGACAAAGAAAAGGAAGCGCACACACGTCGTGGCACTGTCAGTGGGCCCTGCCCGGCACCACCTGGCCCCGGCACAGGTATGCTGTTTACTCATTCACGTGGAGCCGACCCGGCCCCGAGGCTGGTGCCTGAACCACTTCTCCATCTTGTCCCTGGACAGCCCAGTGGTTTCCTGTCTACCTCCTGTAGTGATTCCTAGGACAGTGTTGGCCGAATGGGGGACCTGGTCCACCAATTAATCTTGTGCCCTCGGGGCCCTGGAAGCTTTCTGCAGTCTCCTGGGGGCTTCGGCACTGCAGGGAGCCCCGTGGGCTGTGCCAGGCACTCTGGGCTCTGGTCTTTCCTGTCCCCTCGATGGCTGGTGACTCTGGGCCTCTTGGGACCCACCACCTTTGGTGAAAATAGGGACAGAAGTGTTTTCTTCCCAAGGCCACGGTGGAGATTAAATGAGGGGATTTATAAAGCACCCGCTACTGGCCCGGGTCCCTAGGGGCACTCTGTCCTGTGTCTCCCTGCCTTGGCACATAGTAGAAGCTCAGTAAATGAATGTGACTTCCTATCATCCCCATCAGGCATTTACCGAGCAATCACCCTGTGCCAGGTGCTGTGCCCAGCTCAGAGGCAAAGATGTCTCCATGGAGGAGTGCTCAGGATGGCAGGTGACCACAGGCACATATGAAAATTATTCCAAATGATGCAGAAAACGCTATGAAAGGAGAAACAATGATCACAGCAATACTTAGACCTCACATGTGCCTGGGGATCTGCATTAAGTGCTTTGCCTCTTAATAAATTCTCATCCACCCTATGAAGTTCTTACCTTTATTTTATAGATTCAGAAACTGAGGCACAGAGAGGGTTAGGAACTTGCCCAAGGTCACACAGCTGTGAGATGGTGAAAAGGGCAGTGGAAGCACAAAGGAAGAAATGGTACCAGAAGGGGAATCAGGTATGAGAGGAAGAGCTTTGGGGTGGGCCTTGAAGCATGAGACTTCCATCCCTTCTTTCCAATCTCTCTACCCTCGCCCTCCACCACTCCTCACTGCGTCCCACTGCTTGACTCTGAAGGACAGGCATGTGGTCTTTTCTGCAAGCACTAGCTGATTGGACAACAATGAGCACCTGACCAATGGACTGGACCAATGAGACTCTTGCTCATGAGAATTTCAACATGCATAACCAGAGAGTGGGAGCAGGATCATCAAATGCCTGGGAGGTCGAAGAGGAGGGCGGACAGAGCAGATCCAGAAACAAGCAGAGCCCAGAAGCTATGGTAGTGCTTGGGGGTGGGTGGGAGAGGGTAGGAATGAACCTGGTTTGGATCCGGTTCTTTCCCATTTCTAAGTTCTAGGGGCCTGGCTGGTCTTCCAGCTTGTGGAGCTCCCAGGGCACCCTTGTAGCCAGCCTCATGATCAAATCTTCTTTATTTAGGTGAATCTAGGGGCTTTGGTTTCTTGCCACCAAACAACGCCAGCTGAAGACAGATGAGTGAATGAGTCCGTGCAGGCTGGAGGAGACAGGGGAGGGATGGAGGCTGGGACAGGGAGGGAGAGGCATTCTGGAAACTTCAGGCTGGGATTAGGGTGGGAGGAAGGGGGGCTGTGGGGCGTGGGTACTGAGTACAGACAGCATGGAGCCTGTGGGCCTGTCTGCCTCAGAGGTCGTGCCCAGGTGTTGATGGGGCTGCTCCATTTGTGAGGTTGCTGGGCCCTCCGCCTTGTCACAGAGGCTCCGTGGCTCATTTTCAATCAGGACCTGTCCCCAGCACACAGCAGAGTTAATTAAACCTAGCCCTCCCTTCAGCCAGGGATTGAAAAGCCGCCTCCTCATAGAACAATTAATATTTTCAGCCCCTCCCCGCTCTTCCTTCTTCCCTCCTTCTCTTAATATCTCGCCTTCATCATCTCAGACTCTGCTTGCTGCCCATAAATTAGCATTAAGAAGCCAAGCAGCAAAGAGGAGGGCAGGACAGAGGGCCCATTTATTCCTCCCGGGACAGGGAGACCCTGCCTGTCAGCGAAGGTTAGGGCTAGCCGCAGTGGCCGCTGAGTCGCTGGGAGTGGGTGTCTTCACCTCTCTGTTTTCTCGCCCATATCACAGGGGTCATACGGTCTACTGCATAAGACTGTTGTCAGGATGAAATGAGGTTCGTATAAAGAAAGTGCCAGGCACAGTGCCTGGCATGGAATGTATCCTATTTCTTTCTTACTCCCAAGGTAGGTGTGGCCAGGGATCTCTAGTCTAAAGCCAGGTGGGCCTCAGCCTTGCTGTGTGACATTGGGCTCGTCACTTGGCTTCTCTGAGCCTCTGTGGAGAGGAAGGCTATTGTGAGCCAGAGGGCGGGCATTATGGCGCGATGGTTAAGAACCCGTGGTCTTGTGTCCCATCCTCTCTGTCTCTGCTGTTTTCTTGCGCTACCAACCAACTCTAGCAAGGGCTTGACTCTCTGAGCCTCAATTTCTTTGACCGTAAAATGGGGTGATACCTCCCTCTTTGAGGGATCAAAGGTGCGAGTATGTCTGAAGGATTTGGAACAGCGCTTAGGACAGAATCAGCACTTGATGGCGGCTATTCTTACTTATTTATCTGGGTCCACTCCTGCCCTCAACGAGCCTGAAGCCAATGGGAAAGCCTGTTCTCAGGGGATGAATCTGGACTTGCTATATGGAGCCACTCCAGAAAGAAGAGGCCACTGCCTTGGCTGGCGGTTACCGTGTCTCAGATTGTGAAGGGGTGGGTGAGGAGTTTGAAACAGAGGTAATGAAGCCCCAGGCAGGGCTGGTAGGAGGAATTAAGTGGGATTACCATGCAAAGTTCTTGGTGGGTGGCCCTTTCCTCCATCCACTGCCGCCCTGCTGATAGGCCATTGCAACCCCTGAGACTCTCCAGCAAACCAGAAGCACTAATTGAGCACCAGTTGCATGCAGGTGTCGTGCCAAATGCTGGGGATGGAGACAGGCAGGACGCAGACCTGGAGCTGCCCTGTCTTGGGGCAGAAGTGCTAGCTTGACCTGCACTGAACTGAACAGTGGCTTCAGGCTCTGGGGTGTGATGAAGGCTTCCCAGGGAGTGATGCTTCTAGAGCAGAGTGGTCAGGTGCAGACACAGGGCCAGAGGGGCTGAAAACAAGAGAGGAGCTTCTGAGAGCAGGATGCCAGGGCCTTGCTTGGGGGTTGGCCCTGCCCCAGCCCTTTTGACTGGCAGGTGCACTCTGGGGTCTGACCGGAATCCTCGCTGTCTCAAAAGGGTCTCCAATGGCATCATCCCAATGACGGATCTTGTGAACCATTTTTCTCAGTGTAAGGTCAGAGAGTGAGATGGGTGTCCTCATGGGATTCAGAGGACGCTCTGGGATGGTGGTGGGTTAGCGCCACCTGCACAGGACAACTGGACTGTTGGTACTGAGGTGGGTCTGCTTTACACCCTGGAGATGGGCAACTTTTAGGTATACACTGGTTCTTACCGTTGTTACAATCTTTATCTTTTGGTGTCCTGGGCCATGAAGCCATCGATGCGTATTTCCTTGCTGTGTCTGAAAGTCAAGGCTTTTGGTTTGTTGTCGGTGTTAGGAGTGTGAGCACAGAGAGGATTCGAGTTCACCTCTGCTGCCCTGGCAGGTTTCCTTTCCCTGGGTGCAGCTCCCCCTCTGGTGATGGTCAGTATTGCACTCTTTCCAAATGAGTGTTGAGTAGAGGAAAACCCTGTTAAACGGGCTCAGAGTCCTTCCACATGTCTTGTCTCAGTGTGTCCTTCACGGTCACCATTTGATAGGAGAGGACTTCAAAGCCCAGAGAGGTTTGGTGACTTGTCTAGGGCCGCACAGCACGCTGATCCACCACTGCCAGCCTCTGGTTAAGGGCTCAGAGAGCCAGGCCCCTGTCCCCCACCAGCACTGCCACTGTCTTTGCCATCTCTGTGTTACAGTCTTCTGGTCATTTCTACAACCACTGTCTCATGTGATCCTCTCCACAGCCCCTTGATCTGGGTGGGACAGTAGCAATCACACATTACTGTCATTTTTCAAAGGGGACACCTGCGGCTCCACGCAGGCTCACGCTGGCCTCAGTCACACAGAGTGAGGCGATCCAGCCTGCAGAGCGGGGCAGCCCTCCCGGGAAGGCTCTGCTCCTGCCCCAACCCCGCAGCACCGCCCCCTCCCCCACCAGCACAACTCCGAGGCTCCTCAGCTGAGAGCCCTCGAGGGTGGGGTAGGCAGGCACCTCAGAAAACTGTTTTATGGGCCTGAGATCTCCAAACACCAACATGCGATGCTTTTGTTTTCTCTTAAAGGAACAGAAGACATTCTGAGTTCTGACCACTGACCCTGCTCTCAGCCGAGTGGGACAAAAGCAACAGGTGCCCCGTCCAGGAAGACAGACGAAGTCCCTGCTGCAGGAGACATTTCCTCTTGTCTGGAAGTCATCTTGGGGGTTTTCAAACACGTGTCCATGGGAGAACACGGCGAAATTTGTCACCAGGAGTGTCCAGTGAGTTCAAAGAGCTGGGACTTGGGGTCATTCTGGCCCCATCATGTCTCCCCCCAGGAGGGCAGTACACGAAGTCAGACTAAACCTGTGGGGAGTCCCACTTGGACCAATGGGAGCCCTGGCTCCAGGGCCTGGAACCTACCAGCTCTTATGAGGATTAAATAAATCGGTGCAGGAAAAGCACTTGGAACAGTGCCTGGCTCCTAGCAGACTCCAAGTAAGTGAAAACCATTATTATCACTCTTCACAGCATTTGTGTACCGTCAGGCCGAGGGCAGGAGCCGTGTCTGTGAGGCAGTCAGATTTCAGTCTGGTAGTGGGAATAAGAGGAGAAGAACACTTTTTGGCCTCTGTCTTGCAGTGTCCTGAAACTTGCACCTCATTGCATTCAAAAAGAAAAACTGGTAACAACAAAACAAAGCAGGCCCCTCCTGGCTGGGGAAGGGGTCTCCTCGGGCCTGGCAGGGTCTCGGACAGGGGTCCAGGGAGAAAAGAGCCCAGAGGTGGGGTTGTGGCGCCGGCACCATCTCACAAAACCAGCTGTTTCATGGGCTGCAAAATGTCATGGGTCCCTGGGCACCAGGCCTGGGGCCCATGGTTGGGGCCGCGGTGCTCAGAGCGGTGTTGGCCTGTGTTTGAACATCATGGGATATGACAGGTGAGCGCACAGGGTGCTGAGGGTCCATGCTCAGTCAGGAAATGTCACCTCTGAGTCTAGGGTGCTTGGTCTGATGTGGAAAGAAGTCTGAGCTGCCGAGCCTTTATGGATAGCACCATCAGCCTCTCCCTCTCTGACTTTGAGGGGAAGCAGCCCAGCCCCTGCAGGAATTAGAGTCACCTGCCTCTCTCTCCTGTTCCTGCCTTTGTCTGCACCTGTTCTACCCAGAAATGGGCTAGAAGAGCCCCGAGGAAATGGGGGCTGCAGTGTCTCCTCCAGGATTTTGTTCTACATGGACCTTTTTCCACATGTCTGCACACACTACCCAGTGTCTGGAGATGTGTCATGCACCAGGCTGGGGGACATCGTTCTAAATCACAGGGTCCTGGGCAGGAGGCTGGGCGCAGAGCAACAACCACCTGAGCTACATCCATAAAACACTTCTCATGTGCCAGGCGCCAAAATGCAGTAGCTCTTTTAAGTCTCCCAATCAGCCTATGAGGGAGGCGTGACAACCCCCATTTTACAGGTGAGAAAGTCGAGGCTCAGAGAGCTAAAACAGTTGGAAAGGAGCAGAATCAGAATCTGAACCCAGCTCTGTGTGATTCCATTCTTAATCGCTGCAGTGCCACCTGCTTTGGAAAATGGGAGATGTTTAGTTTTCTTTAATAAACCCGCGCTCATCCTCTATTTTCCTTTTCAAAACAGATTTTGCAGTTTCTCCATCCGTTTGTTTCTTTGATCAGGAGGGAAGGACTGGGGCATGGCCTTTGCAAGTTAGTGACGAGGAAGCCGAGGCCCAGAGCAGAGAGGTGACTGGCCCCGAGGGGCAGCGGGGAAGCCCGGTCTCCCGCCTCCTCTCCCTAGAACGCTGAGTTAGAGGTGGCTGTGCGTCTGGGAGAAGCCATCTGCCCACAGAGAGAATGATGACCCCAAACTCATTTCCCAAAGTATCAGTCCCCTCTTTCTGGAGACTGGATTTCCGTTGTTAGCAACAGCTGCAGCCCCCAGCCTTTCATCCCACCTCCCGTTTTGGGGCTCCCTCTCTTTGCTGCAATTTCAACCCATTAACTGCTATGTGCCCGGAAGGTATTTCTATCGCCTGTGTTTTTGGAAACTCAGCTGCATTTGAAGTGTGGGGAACAAGCCCATGAGCTGCTTGGGGACCAGGGAGGATCTGGGAAACTCGCTCTGGCTGGCTTCACCTCTCACGACCCTGAGTGTACAGAACAGCAACCTGCTGCCTTCCGAGTAGGAGCCACGTGGGAAGCAGGGCAGGCAGATGTGCGTATTGTCATTTCCTTACCTAAACCCTTCCTGTGGCTCCCCACCATCTAGCCAGCCTTCTCATTTCTTCTATCCTTTCTTCTAAACATCCATCCATCTTAATTTCTTAATTACTTTATTAATTCGTTTAATGACGTCCTACCTCATCCCACTCCGATTTTCTGGTTTTCCAAAGCATTTATCACCTTTCAACATACTCAAATAATGATCTACCTACCTACCTACTATCTATCATCATTACTATTCATTGTCTTTCTCCACCACCGCTTCTCCTTGCCCACTAGAATAAAAAAAAATATCCACAAGGGCAAGAATCTTGTTAATATTTACTGGTATTCTATTGCTGCTCAGTAGGCACTTAATAAGCATTTGTTAAGGGAGTGAATGAACATGGTTATAATATTGAAGAAGACACTGATTTATAGGAATTAAGATTAAAGCTGGAAACTTTGCTGTGTTTAATACATGCCCATGTCCAGCCCCCTGCAGGAATATTTTTCCTCACCTTCCTTTAGGGCTTCTTAGGAGGGAAAGGTTGAAGTTATAGGCCAATAGGAAGAATTCAAGCCCCTCACCTGGCCTTGGGGTCCCCAACATCTGACCCTGCCTGCCTCTCCTGTTACTATCTTACAGGCCATCCGGTGAGCTGGAATTGCTTGCACTTGTCAAACACACTCTGAGCTCTCTTTTCATACCTCAGGGCCTTTGCCCACACTCTTTCCCTGAAGGAATCTCTTTCACCTGCTTGGCCAGCTGGAAAACATTCTGCATACTATTTGGAACTGCATTCAGATTACACCTTCTTTGGGAAGTCTTTATAATCTGTTCTTCCTTCCCATTTGGGGCAAAATTACCCTTTGTCCCGGTGACACCTTCTATGGAAGAATGTTGCATATCATGAATATCGTTTTTGTCTGTGTCCTCCACGCCATGGGAGCTCTTTGGGCCAGAAACTGTCTCCTCAGTACCTAGGAGAGAGTGGCATTTGGGAAATTATAGTAATAATAACTATTTGTGGAATTATCATAATCATAGCCGCTACTGATTATTGGGTACCTGCCAGTTACTGTTCTAAGCAACACTATACGGGAGGAACTATTATTTTCCCTGTTTATATTGAGGAAATAGATGCAGAAAGATTATGGTAATTTACCCAAGATTACACCTTAATAACCGGCAGAGCCAGAAATAGAACCTGGGCAAGCCGACTCCACAGGCCTTGGGCTGAGCGTCTCTGTGGCGTAAAGACGACTTTCCACGTGTCTGCGTCTCAGTGTTTTCGTCTGTATGATGAATTGTCAAGGTCAGGTAATATCTAAGGACGCCTTCATTGTCCTTGTTGTTACATAGCTAATGGAATTGCACTTCCTTTGTTCATCAAATGCCTCCAGGAAGGCAGAGTCCGAGTGGGCAAGGCCTGTCCCCTCAGTCCCCTTTGGTATATTTAGTCTAGAGTTAGGACCTTCACGGTCTGGAACCAGCGCACAGAGGAGCTCGGTGCGGACTTTCTGAGGTGGTAAGTGATGAGAAGAAGCAATGAGAGAAGGAGCGAGGTAGATGCATCCTCCCCTCCCAGCTCCCCAAATTCATCGAGTGGGTGTGGGTGGCTCCAGCAGTGTGTGGAGAGGGAGGCGGCAATGGCGAGAAGGAACTTGACAAGCTGGTGTCGTGTTAGAGCCTACGCACCTTTGTGAAAGTCTGCTGTCTGGCTCAGCCGTGGTCTGGGTGTTACCTAACTGCCCTGCTTTGGCACATGCCAGTGAAATCTCCCAAGACCCTGCCGGCCTGTGTCCTTAGTTCTCATGACCTGACCTTAGGACCCCGGGGTCATGGCTGCAGTGATGGATGGGCCTAGAGGTCACAACACCCAGATACCTCGTCTCTTTGGACCCTGTATCAGCTTCTGATTGCTGCTGTGATAAATGTCTGCAAACTTAGTGGCTGAAAATGACACACAGTAATCAATCCTCCTACCATTCTGGAGATCAGAGGTCTGAGAGCAGTCTCTCTGGGCCAAGGCCAAGTTTGTCAGCAGGGCCAGGCCTTTCTGGAGGTTCTGAGGAAGAACACACTTCTTTGCCCTTTTTTTAGCTTCTGGAAGCCACCTGCCTTCTTGTCTTATGACCCCCGTCTTCCTGTCAGTTTAGCCTCTTGGTTTTGTCATCACAGAGTCACTGCAGACTCTGATCTTCTGTCTTCCATGTGATTGCCTCGGGTCACCTGGACAATCCAGGATAATCTCCCATCTCAGGATCTGCAAGTCCCTTTTGCCATGTAAGGGGACACGTTCCCAGGTTCCAGGAATTAGGACCTGGACCTCTTTGGGGGTGGGCATTATTCTGCCTGTCAAAGGCCCTGATAATTCCTCCAAGGTAGGAAACACGAGTATTATTTCCCAGTTATTCCCATTTTACATTTGAGGAAACAGACCACTAGGTTGCATGTCCAGGATGAGAACCTAGGCTTCTGACTCCTACTCTTTAAGCTATTATTATTATTGTTGTATTTATTACTAATTTTCATTATAGTCGACATACACTACCTTAGTTTCAGGTGTACAACATAGCGATTTGACATTTATTTATATATCTTAGGAAGTGGTCGCCGCAAGCCTAGTAACCATCCACCACCATACAAAGTGACAGTATTCCCCGTGCTGTACATTACATCCCCGTGACTTAATTATTTCATACCTGGAGGTTTGTATTTAATCCTCTTCCCCTTTTCTGCTCATATTCCTGCACCCCTCCCCTCTGGCAAACATTAATTTGTTTTTCTGTGTTTATGAGTCTGTTTCTGTTTTGCTTTGTTTGTCCATTTGTTTTGCTTTTGATTCCACATTTAAATAACAGTGCCATTCACTGAATGTCTGTGGTGTGCCCAGCACTGTTCAAAGCACCTTTACAGATGTTACGCACTGGGATGACTCCCATTTTACTGACAAGAAAACTGAGGTTTAGGGAATTTGGGAAACTTGTGCAAGATCACAGATGGAGTTGGGATTTGAACCTGGGTCTTTTATCTGTGGGTGCCCCCCACCCACAGATCCTCATTAGCAGACCACGTACCCTCCTCCAGCTGCTGCGAGTGTTGACTGCTCACAGCTCACAGCTGCCCTCTTCTCCTGAGAGCCGTCCTTGGCCTCCAGGAATCATTTCATCAGGGAAGACCTGGAAGATGACATCCCACCCCAGGGGCCCCCCAGGAAGTAACTGGCTGATACAGGGTGCACAATGCCGACCCCCTTCAAAGGGGGTCGTTGAGGCTCCGGA